TAGGGGAAAGTCATCACTCACGAAAACACCTTCCGGTTTTACTTTCAAAATTCGTTTCTTACATTTCATTTTCTTGTTATAATCAACATTAGTACAAATAATTAGTCTAGGGAAATTACTCTTTTTCTTTCCCATTCTCACTACCCTATTAATCTTAATATCGGGCAACTATAAAACCTGCGTAACAAACTCAAGTACTTTACCTTTCGTTTCCGATAATGATTGGTCTCGAACCTCCTCTAGACCCCGGAAATGACGACGTTATTCGATCGACGTCGATTATTCAAAAAGTCAACTTGACGAGTAATATCATTAAACTTCTTTGTAACATTGATAATCTAAACTACACTTTCCATCAACCAATTGTTCCAAATATATCGAGTGTATTATCCAAATCGGCCAAACCTTCGCCCAAATTTTTAAGCCATTCAGATACATAATTTAATCTAGAGGAAAGTTCGTGAATCTTACAATACGTAGCAAGACATAGACGCAGCGGAACTCGTATACCATCTTCGAAGTTAAAATTTTTTCCTCCTAAGAAATATGCAAATGTTTTTCCTGGCAACCCTTTTTAAAGACTTCTTTCCAGTGCTGTGCGATGTCTATAATTTTAAAATCGATGTCAAACATCGATGTTTGCCTAAGCATCGATGCTAAATTTCCATGTCGGATTTCACATCGATGTTTGATCGATGCCCATTGAAACATCGATGTTTAATCAAGATAAACTCAAACAATTTAAAAAAAAAAACCGGGTTTGTTCGAACAGTAGTTCCTGGCGCATGCGCAATGTCATTTTACAATGCAAAGAATAACGTGCATGCCGGTTCTAAATCATTTACAGTAGGGACTAGGGACTCGCGTAGAAGTAACGTAAGTAACCTAAATTAAGAAAGATCAGGTACAGATAACAGCTCTATTTGATACGTGTACGATCGTACATGCAAAAAAAAAGTCGACAGGGTTTTTTTTACTATTTCCGCCCTGTGGGCACTAAGAGGGCCTTTTATAGCAGGCCCATTATGGGTTCGGCCAGGCCAACAATGGGGCGACCGGATGGTGAGGGACGGGGTCCGACATATCCGAACAGACCACCCCCCGAAAAATTCCTGGGGATTCTTTGACCCGTCCGAATTCGATCCCGGGCCCCCCAGAGAGGTAGGCTGCCACCTTGACCGTTGACCCTCCGGCCTCAAAGTCGACAGGTTACGCGCCATAAGTCGGCGTAAACAGACTAACATGGCAGAGTTGCGGATGAGTTTCAACGAGTGTGAGTTCATTCACTGTTAAAATAGTGTAAATTTGTAAACATATTTGCGAGAACTTTGTTCCATCGCAATTTCACAATTTCTACGAAATTCTTGGACTGTCCGGGTGAAAACCGAACAGGTGGTAACGCTAGGAACAAAGAATGAACTGCATGCATCGATGAATCAAAATTCACATATTGCTAACATCGATTCGGGATCGATGTTTCAAAAACATCGGAAGGTCGATGCATCGACGAACAAAAACATCGATGCATCGCACAGCACTACTTCTTTCTAGTAGTCTCTTCTTCCCCGAAGCTCGGAGAATACGACTTTCTTTTCGGGTTGACTGTTATAATATTAAAGACTTACGTATAAAAAAAATATTTGTGTCCACGACACCACCGACGGATGCTCCCCATACAAATATATTATTTATACTGCGAATTTGTTAAGTAGCTGGACGTCGCGGATGCTAACAACGTGACCATTTCTTCGGGTTGGATAGATGGTTTTAAAGATTGACGCCGAGTCTGCGGGGAAACTGGGCGGTAGACGAGGTTTTTGTTTTTAAAAGATAACGTTCGTCCACACATTGCAGCGTTTACAAGATACAAAATGCAATCGGGATAAAAACTTTTACCTGGTCCTTCCTATTCTCCCCAATAATATGCATGGGATTACCATCTTTTTCACCTTAGGATAATCGCCCGCGTGCAAAACAATTTACGAATCGCCTAGATATAAAAGCGGAAGTAACTTAATATTCGATGCTAAAAATGATATTTTGAAATTACTCCGCCATGGGGAAAGTGTAGTTGAATGTGAAAGCGAATAAATTATTTTAAATGAGAAAATCGAGCTTCATCCACGTTTAAAAAAGATTTAACGACGTGTTGCGTAACTTTCCCCACTTTTAAGACATTTTGTTTTAAAAATTATGTTATTAATCGAAAAATGAAATAAAATTTCTCGTCTCGCCATCCGTTATTAGATTTTGTTATAAAAACTTTATACGTTTTTAATTTTTATAAATTGACCAAAGGTTACATTTTGAGGATAGGAATGAGTTTTATAAACATATCTGAATGTTAATCTATATATATATATATATATATATAGATTAACACGTCCATTTTTATATATATATAAATGGACGTGTTTGCGCCTATATTTCACTCCGCAGACAAAACTATACATTTCACGCGAATGGTGTTTGCGTCTCTATTGCTATAAGGGTGCGGAAGATACGGGGGTTGAAAGTGATTGACTCGGAAAATGTGTGACGCTTCGATGAGAATGTTCCAGTTTTTTGTAGAAAGTTCCATAATTTTGAAGAAAGTTGTAAAATTTTCTGGAATATCACATATTCTCCGTCTTCACTCTCATTCTTCACCCCTACAATCTACGCCCTCTCATTTCTTTTTGAGTTAATAATACATTCTTTTAATAATCAAATAATAAAGAAATGAAACGATAAAAACAAACAACGAATATTGTGGATTACTTTAATAATTTTTAGATTCTTCGGGAATGTTCCGTAATATCCTATATTATTTCAGAGGCTTTTGGACCTTTCCGGAAATCTTAAATATTTTATGATTAAAAATTATATCTGAATTATTTATTTGGAATTTTTCTTTGTCAATCGTATTTTGAATAACTTTTTATGTACAAATAGTTTTATTTTATCAGTTTTTATCGAATTATTATACGAAAAAAATATTTTAGTTAAATATTCAGAATGTTGTAGAATGAACAGAGTCAGAAGGTTGGAAAACGTTTTGGAATAGTCGGGGACCGTTACGTGCCAGTAGCGGAGATGGCTTTTGGCGATGTGTGACGCACACGCTTCGGTTGAATGTTCGTAAGTAAGAGTGTACGAATAACAGAAAATACGAAGATAAAAGTTTAGAAATAAATACGCGGAATATACGCTCGAAAATATAGATATAAAGATTAAAATATGTAATATGAATGATGATGTAAATCTGTGAAATAAAAGCCCCAATATAAATGTGAGGAATGCCAAGTAAAAATATAAAAAACAACGCCAAAGCGCGAGAAAGAACTTTTGCAATCTCGAATCGTATCGCAAAGGCAAAAGATGGCGCGGAGAAATGAAACCACGGAAGAAAGAGTTATACGGTAACCCCCGTATAACACGGCAGTTACGTTCCAATAAATTGCCGTGTTATACGAAACAAAGAATTAATGCGAAAAGAGGGGTTAGGTTGCAAAAATTAAAAAACATGCTGTTAAATCCTTATTTAAATCGGATTTAATATTCATTTTTAAGAGTAAAATACTTATTTATTGTTTAAGTAAATATTTTACCAGAGTATAGTGATCTCGGCACGAGCATTATCAACTGGTAACAGTTTGTGGGTCGCTCCGCAACGGGAGTGCGCCGCTGTTTGTAGGCATTTAGGAACGACGGCAAAAAAAGATGGAGGCACCCGCACTATCGATAGAATCGTGATGGAGGAATCTATAATTCTAAAATGAGCTTTTAGAGGCAAAAGAAGTGTCCCAGTTGTAAAATTTAACCATTAAATGGATTATTTGTTGAAAGAGCATTCGAAGTAGCCACGAAAATAATTAGAATGCTTGCGCGGAGTTTCGCGGAGGTATGAAAGAACGCACCCTTTATTACATTTCATGATGTACTGTACGAGGGTTTTACCAAATTCCCGAACCGTGTTAAAGTGAATCCGTGCTATAGAAGTGCCGTGTTATACGGGGGTTACCTGTACACGTCTAACATTGTTACGAGAAAATTATCAACGAAACAGAAACAAGCGGACAGAAGATCAACTCGAAAATTATGGGGAAACGCATCGAACAAGAGAAGGATTACGTAGAGGAAGAGAAGCAAGTCGGATGAAAGAAGACAGCCGGGAACTTACAGTCTTCGACACGAAGAGTTTTATTAAGATCCAACTAAAAATTACAATGAACATCCGAGTGTAGTGATTGGGAGAAGGGATCAAGTACTGTACGTAAGTTTTGTAAAGCGAAAAAATTCAAGCGAATTGAAGGGGTACTCGCAGCTAGTAACGAATAAAATCGTCATTAACTACTGTAGTATTTTACAACGAAACCGTCCGTTCTCGATGAACCGGTGGGAAGTCCGAATGGGCACAAATCTCGAACTCGGCTACTCGTTTTTGCTAGAACAGTGTGGCGGGAGGTGATCAAAGCGAGATAAGAAAAGGCTCGCTCGGCCAATTATTTGAAAAAGTAAAGAGCCTTCTTCGGACGTATAATACGAAAGGCATGCGCCAAACCACGATGAAAATTTGCGCCCCTCCAACCTTTCTATTTCGGACGTACATTTCCTCAATATAAGTTTGCCATTTGAAATAAAGGGTAAATCCTAATAATAATTTTAAATCTTTGTTTCTTCGCTCTTTCATATACAATATCTCATTAAGCAGATTCTTAATTTCAGAGATATTGGACGGATAAATTCTTATTCGCTCGTCAAATATATAAGATTACGTATTCATTTAACAATCATATCTGATGTAAAATATGGATATATTGATAAGTTAGTAATTCGTATTTTTGATAATCGACAGTTTGAATATATTTAAAAAGCTTGAACAATATTCAATCGACAAAAACTGCGCGAATTAAAAAAATATTTATATAGAAGTAACCTTACAATGATTCTAATGCCGTAACTTAAGACGAAAGGAAATAATTTATTCAGGAAGTTTTACAAAAAAAAAGTTTAACGTAAATTTAAATGCCGCGCGTATTTCATCCGTGAGGACACGTGGTCGGGAGATTTAAAAATTTTTAACTAAATATTATAAAATTGTTATAAATGAGTGACTTTTCGGCACTGGCTCAAATTATTTGAGCGATTTCCTGCGTATTCGGTATTATTTCGTTTTAACCTAAGGAGTTTTTCTGCCGAAACAAATTGCTGGTATTGTTCTTCTGTCTTTATGGATACTTCTTTCGTTATTTGGATATTGTTATTGGTGTTTTCTTGAACATTACGTAAACATTTCGTGGCCGTTAACCCCGACATCCGCACCATATTGTAAAATATACCGTCTTTATTTTCTAGAAGTTTGCACGGTTTATCGAATTCTCGAATTCGTCCTTCTTCTAGAACCTGAATTCGTGATTATTTACAATTACTCGAACCTTAAGTTTAGCTTGAAAACAAAAACCATTATGAAATTTCACTTACCATGACTCTATCCGAATCCATAATAGATTGAACCCTGTGGGCTATGGTAAGGATAGTGCAGAAAGAAAAGTTTTCTCGTATTGTCTTTTGTATTAATAAATCAGTTCTGTAAATAAAATGAAAAACAATTTTAGATACGCGACATAAATGATTTGACAAGAACAGTTATTATGGAATTTTTAAAATAAATTAAAACAATTTACTGTAACGTGCTTCTATTATGACCTAGTCCCTAATGTCTGGATAGTTTTTCATCAAATTGAATAAGCTACAGTTTCCCGAAATTTAACTCGGCCGATCGAACTTTTTGTTTCGAGTTTCCATCTTTTATAGCTTCCGCGTAGATAACTTTATGGTTTTTGGCGCTTCGCTAACACGCCTTCTTATTTTAAACGGCAAGGTCAATCATTGGAATAAATACGACTTTCATATTGTGTAGAGCGAATAGAGCAGGGCTGGCCAACCTGTGCCAGGCGTGCCCGAAAGGGCGCATCCGAAGAAATCACACGCCATTTCGCTTTATCGCCTGGCACATGGGGGATCGGGGATAAACCAAACAGCCTGGCTTTATCGCCTGGCTGTTTGGTTTATCCCCGATCTCTTTTTCATCATTCTAATTAAAGCACATTCGTTTCATTTTTTTAAATATCAATTATCGAAGTTTATTAATTTGGCACGCATAAATATTTTTACCTTTATTACGCTCACTACAGTATATCGCATATGGACTCAAAAAGACTATCCCTGGAGTGAAGTATCGATTACACTTTACAATAGTAGAGGAGAAGGTGGTATTATGGAACCCCAATTACATTTTAGTGAATTGTAAACAAGGTATCATAACTACACCCACATTTATGGAAAGAAACGGGTTTTCCCCTTGCTATGGATGTCTGCCTAGTTCAGTTCAGCCACATTCCGCTACAGTTCGCCTTTATTATCAGTTCGAAATGGGGTGATTCCATAATACCACCTTCTCCTCTACAGTTTTTTATTATTATTTCCATTTAATTATTACAGTAAAAATTCCACAATGAAATTAATTTACAGGGTCTAATCGGCTTGTTATAGAAACCTAGTTTATCAGACTGCATTTTTTAGGCAATGAACGAATTACAGTTAATTTAACTTAGGTAACGGAAGGTCACCTCATAGAACTACGGGACAGAAGCATTATTTTCTTTTGTTTTGTACTTGGTTCTCGATTATTACTTTCTCGATTCTTTTATTTATAATAAAGGAAAGGTATGGCGATCGGTCCAAAATGACTTCCCCCAAGATTTTTACATTTTTACACTGGGAAACCTCGAAACGTCGAAAATGCAAAAAATTAAGTATTATTTCTGTACTCATGGATGCTAATGTGTGTGTGTTTCCGGGGGTACGGTTTTGTTTAGCCGATTAAAAGATCAATAACTCTCGTCTTTTTGTAACAAATTTCTGAAATTTTTGGGTGAGGTTTGAATATTGTGGAGAATAATGCTATTAAATTTTGGTAGTCAAAGGCCGAGGGGTGGAAAGACAGGGGGTCGCGTGTCATATCTCGAGTAGGATCAGACCTAATGAAAATGAAGATTTTACTCGTTATTGGGCTGCGATTTGAAAATAATTGTAGGCCTATAAATTCCTACTGCCATCCGTCCGTCCGTCCGTTTGTCTTTCCTTAATCTCGAGAAAGGAGTTAGACAGACGTAAGAGGAGAACAGATATGAAAACCCTAAGGGCGGGAGACTCGGATTAACTGTATACAAACTTTCGATACAAACCGAAAGTCACGTTATTTCGATTCGAAGCGTTACCCCCAAAAGCAGTTAATAGATAACCGGCACGACTCTATTCTTAAAGGAAAAGTACGGGGCAAGCCACTACAAATTTGAGGGAAAGAGCATATATTTTAAATTAAATAAATTAAAAATACGATTAAAAATTCCAGCCCGGCATTGTGACCGTGTCACAATAAATAACTGGTCATTAGCATTCGCATTTTTTTTCTTTTTTATAAAACTCGTCCCTGGTGTCTCTATTCGGGGGGATTTTTTATCCTTTTTTTATCAGCATTAAGTTAATGAAATTAATAGCCTTTAAATTAAATGGTGAGTCACGCTTCAAAGTTAAGTTTTTTTATATTTTATTTAATAATAATTCATAATTTAGGATATGTTTTAAATAGAATATCCTAACAGATAACCAGTTTGAAATCTCGTTGCTAGATTTTTTTTCATTTTAGTTTATTAAGAGAATAATTTTTAAATTCTTTTAGAAGTGACGGCTGTTTCATTTTGTATTCTCGAGACACGAAAGTTTGTTTTAATTATAATCTGTGTTCATTACAATATTTAACGCGTAACCGTAAAAGAAACGCTACTTCCAACACAGTCTAATGTACTGTACACTTTTTATTTTCGACAAATGTAACGCGGTAGTCCCATGTCGATGTTTTAGTGACAAATTAATAGTTATTCCAATGGATGCAAAGTAGAAATGTAATCTCGATTATTACGTGTATTGTATATACTCGATTGTTACTCAGATTCTAAAATAAAACGTCTGGACAAGAAGTTGTTTTAAATCCAGACTTTTTAAGTATTTGTGTTTTATTTCTGAACATTATTCTTGGGAAATGAAAACAATTCTCAATCGATTAGTTTTATCAACTTATTCATAACTGTAAATTAAATTAATAATCAATTCTTAGAATGATTACTTTAATTTCGTCGTTTAATCGTTACAATCGGAATAATTGTTTGAAAGATAAATACTCGGTTAAATTTAATTAAATAATTTCAACAGTTTTTCTTGGCAAATATAACGTATGCATCTAACCACCGCTTAAATGATACTTCTGTTTAATACCAATTTATCATAATTATGAAAAGTATATATAGGCTATACAGTACGGTGTCCCTTATTTTTCGAATATTTTTTTCCTAACGCGTATGGCCTACTTTCGTTTATTTTACCCTTAAATACTCGCGCAATAAATTTCGGCTCATTTTGGTCGCTAGAACCCGTGCCGACTCGCATCGAATCACCTCCATACACGCTGCGCTAGAGAAGTGGCGCGTATCCGTTTTGTTCGCCATTCTAACACAGTTTATGCGGCTATTAACACGCGTAGTTTTATTTTTCGAAGACGTCGGTGGATTTCGAAGCGCTAAAAAACGTATTTTCTTAGTCGGAGACATAAACCATCAAATCACGGGTGCGAAATTACCGTCAAATGGGCAAGTACTCGCAGATTTGTTTTTTAACATTCGCCAAGTTAAATTAACTGCGAGTGGAAGCGCCAGTCTTGGAATACGCGAGTGTATCGTATTTTGGGAAAAACCTAGATTACCTTCAAAATCTATACGTAACTGTGTCGAGAAATTGGTGGATCTTTATCACGTATGGAGACAGTGGCAAAAAACAGTAGGAAAACTCGAGATTTTTATAAGCGCCGCCAGATAACTTTCCAAATAGATTTAGATAAGTTCTTTGATAGCGCACACGCCGATGCCCTCGAACGTACGACAATAGAGGAAGATAAAAAATTCTTACAGAAACGGAGAAAACCGGGGCGTCCGGGCCGCTTGGCCGGTGTAAATAAAAAAAATTGGCCGAAAAAGAAGCGAGGCGAAGAAAAATAGAAGTAGAGAGAAAATACTTGTATAAAGGCCGCATCGACTTCTTCAATATTGCACGATTTATCACCACTCCGGAAATTATACGATATTTCTTATATATCTGACAATAGTCTGGATGAGCTTTTTTCTCGGGAATCGAATACCGCGCCGTCTGAACAGAACTGTAAAAAGAGGAAGAAAAATTTCATTACGCCTAAACAAGTCGCAGCTTTGGACAGATGAAAGTTGAGCATTAGAGATTCCGTTTATATTCTTCACGCTACAGCGGAAGCAAAGGGCTCGGTATCGATGAATTTTCAATCGACAAATCTTCACTTCCACGGATTCGGACACAAGTGAGGAAAGACAGAGTAGAAGCCATAAAATCCGATTTTCGGGATAATGTGTCAGAAGCAGTCACCGTTCATTAGAATGGCAAATTGTTACCTGGCTTAAACGTTAGAAGTTTTAAAGAAGAGCGATTACCGATTCTTATTTCATTCGGAGAGAGGGAACGACTGCTTGCCGTACCAATACCGGACAGTTGTTCTGGTAAACACCGAGCCCAAGCAGTTTCGAATGCGCTCTACGATTGAAATTTAAATGACGAGGTACAAATAACGTGTTGTGACACAACAGCGTCCAATACGGGACGCTTAGATGCAGCTCGTGCGCTTTTAGAACAAAAGCTAGAAAGAGAGCCGTTACTCTTCGCTTGTCGCCATCATATATATGAGCTAGTGTTAAGAAGTGTATTTGAAACAAAAACCCCCAAAGTTACTAACAGCCCCGATATTCCGATATTGAAAAAAATTAAAGACTCTTGGAAAAGCATTGATTCTACGAACATACAAATGTGCATTGATTTTGTAAAACAACATTTCAATGACGCGGAAATTCATCAATTGTTATCTTTCCATGCGAGAGAACTTAAAAAAATCTATCGTGAGAGTTGATTATCGCGAATTAGTCGAGTTAGCTATCATTTTTTTGGGGTGGCAGACAAAGAAAAAAATTAAAATCGGGCCTCCGGGTGCAATGCATCGAGTAAAGCGGATAGCTATTTACTCTTTTGAAAGTATGTTTGCTGCAGTCCCAATTCAGAATGTACGCCGAGGACAAACGAGCATTACGAGACGTTTGCTTATTTATTGTAACAGTTTACGATAAACCCTGGCTTGGATGGGGTTTGGCAGTACAGGCGCCGTATCGGGATTTGTGCTTTTTAAAAACATTAAAAGAATACGAAAAGGTTGAAAAATTAATTTCCCGGGCAGCTTTGACTAAGTTTTGTCGACACTTGCGGTACTTATCCCAGGAAACAGCCATATTATCGCTATTCGATGATTTAGTCGACGAAACAGCCAAGATAAAAATAGTAACTAAATTGAAAGGGGAAAGTATATCCGATTTCGAGAAAAGGTTTATTCCCTCGAAAGAAGAAATAGCCAGCTCTTTGTATGGTATGTAGAACTACGTGTTTTTTCCTACTTTAATTATATCTTATTTAAACTATACCCACTTTTTGTTTCAGGAAAATCCTCGGATTGTTTTGTGTGTAGGAAGAGCAAAAATCTGTTTACTAGGTTAAAAATTGAAAGTAGTTTCCTTCGGGAAAGCGTTTCTTCGTGGGAAGAAAACGCTTCTATTGCGCGAGCTAAAAGAAAGGTTTTTTCTCTGGAGACGGTGAATGATACAGCTGAAAGAGCTGTTAAATTAGTGCAAGATTTTCATGAGTTAATTACCGCAAGACGAAGAACAAGCAGTTTCTTTTGCGCTGTGTGCAAGAACACAGAAAACTGTATCAGGACTGTACAAAAGGAGACATTGAAAAAAAATATCCACAATAATTTACATTATACAAATTTTAAATATTATTCTTTGTTGTCTGATTTCCTTATTTACCCAATTATTTAATGATCTAGTCATGTATGTATGTATTACAATGATGTAGTCGAGTGATAGTCAAAAATGACTTTATAAAAACTTTTAGGCTTAGTCGGCACGGGTTATCGTTATCGTAGGGGATCAATATTTCGTATGTAAGTCTTAGTTATTTGAAAAGAATGAAGGGATATGCGTTTAAAAATTGGAAAAAATATTTTTCTCCATATAAGGACACCCTCATATACGGCATATAATTGCTAAATATGATTTTCATACTTTTCAACCAATCTACTTTCTTTTCTACTCATATTTACTACCCTTCTTACTGTTTTGCTTTACGCCTTTTGTACGTTACGTAAATTTTTAACTTTAAATTTTGGACGTTTCGAACTCTCGATGCTCTCGTTACAGTTAGAATTACGCATTAATTCGGTACGAATTCATCTTATTCAAAGCACTATTACCGTGCAAATAATGATTATAGAAATTGCTAATAATTCTGTGAATATTTATTACGATAGGCTTTACAATATTATAAACCATCGACTTTCAATACAACACCCGACGGTAATAAACGCATTTAGTCCGAATGCCACCAAATCTGATGCGGTAACGTTTCGCGATATTTGCAAAACATTTCTGTAAAAACAACGATACCAAATGCCGCCACTACGCACTCTTGTGGCTTCGAGAAATCATTTATTTGCACGACATTCTGTGTAGCGATACATTGTACAGCAGTGTTTTTCAACCTTCTGGAAACGCGACCCCTTTACAAGTTAAAAATTCTGGCAACCCCAGGGCCATATTAAAACTATGTCAGTGATTTTAAAAACTATGTATTTAATTTTCTTTCTGTTGAGAGCTAAATATCGATCGAAAAACCAACTGTACTGTAAATTTTACAGTACAATTTGTTTTTCGGGTTTATTTTACAGTGTAAAATAAACAAGCGCAGCCTTCAGACTGAAATCGTACATTTTTTATTGTAGTGTACGACCTACAAACATTTGTCTTTTTCTTTTACCCCCGGCCCCCCGTGTAAGGCTTTGCGACCTTCCTGGAGATCGCGACCCATAGGTTAAAAAACACTGGTGTACAGAAACATTAACGATGCGGGTAACACGGCTTAATGCAGTCTCCTCTCGGAGGATATAAAGGCTAAAAAGGGTGTGCGTCCAGCGACCGTAATTAGTCCCGTATGACGTTTACGCAGTGGGTATGTGCCATGTAATATCTTTTATGGAGACAGTCAAATTTGTCACGTACCCTCGATAAACCACTATTTACACCATTCGGTACTTACTGCTTGTCGACATTAGCCGTCGCTTCGTCCATTACGATAATTTTATTTCGGGAAAGAAGAGCTCTAGCCAGACATATCAATTGTCTTTCTCCTACGCTGAAGTTACCTCCGTTTTCTGTTAACTCCGAGTCTAAACCTCCGGATAATTTTCCAACAACTTCTTTCAAACCAACCTTTGAATATAAAGTCAAATATAAATAAATAACAAATACAATTGAAAAAAAAAACGTTTACGTACGAGCAACCCTCGATGCGTGCGAAGATTTGTAATGAGAAGAAAATAGAATGAAATCGCTAGGCTATATCGTTAACGTGTAGTGAATAGAGTATTGAACGCGAGAACTCGAAACGCCTTTAGCAGGAAGAATAACCAATACACAGGCACTGTGTATAGACTACAATTAACCACTGGCCAAGCGCGTAAAAAGCTTCTAAGAATCCCTATTAAACTGAAAGACAGAAGTAAGCAGAATGAATTGGAACCAAATTGAAAATTCAGTACTAATGAAGTGTGTAATTTAAAAACTGGATACTTAATTACTTAAAATATATATATATGCCATATTTCACTAGCTTAAATAAAAGTTAGCGGAGAGAGTCGAACAAATAGCGAGCAAAGTGAATACTTAATGAAAAATTCGTTTAATACTAACGCTAATTGAGTTGTTGAAAAATTTGTATTTTTTATATAAATCTAGCTGCAAGGACCCGCTTCGCTGGGCAAAAAGTAACGATAGTGAAGATTAAGATAACTACATTATAGCTAATCTTACCCGTTTTCACAAAATGCAAGAATTAGGTCCCCCGTTTCCAGACTAATTAGAGAATTTTTACGTTTAGTCAAACGAACAAATTTCAACGTTTCTGGAACGTTTACAATCGTTTTATAATCGAACAAATTCGAATTTAAAACGGTTCGAACATTTTTAAAATCGAAATCGAAAATCTTCCACTTTCAACCACTTTCAACCCCATATCTCCCGCACCCTTATAGCTATCGAGACGCAACCACCCCTATGCTCGAATGGAGACTTGGGACTACTACCACATACAAACACCATTCACGTGCGATGTGTAGTTTTGGCGAAAAAGTGAAATATAGGGACATACATGTCCATTTATATATATATATATATATATATATAATCTATACTAATCTCTCTCTCTATATATATATATATATAAATTAGTTATAAAAAAAGAAGATTCGATGTAATAGTACGCTGGCCGTTTATATTTTGATATTTTCGACAAAGATAAAAAAGTATTAAGGACAATTTGCGCTGTAAAATGTAAGTCACTAGTTACACTGCAAACACAAGCATTTCGCGCGAAATGTAACGAATTTGATTACGGTTACGATTGGATGCGCATTCTGACGAATATCCTTTCTGATAAATTTGTCAGATTTTTCCCGCAAACGGGGTGCATGCTTTGAATGCAAATTCAAACCATTGTCGTCAGTGAATAGGAGTTAACAAGGCAGAAGAGTGTATTGACGATTTTTTTTTCTTTTTTAAAACTCTCTTTATCAAAGCATTATTATTAGATTTATTACATTTTAAAAAAGTGAATACGTAAACACTTTGTTTATGTCACGAGTAGTAACATCGCGGATTGTTCAGAGAATTATCGAAGCGACCAAACAGTAAATTTCCGGAGCATTGTATGATGTCGTCGGAAATATTTTTACATTTTAAATGTAATTCGAGAAAGGATTCGCGAACAGTCAAACTATCGTTTATGCATTTCGCTAGAAGAAAGACCGGCAGTGATATTCGGGTAAGAGAATACATTATTTTTGCTACATTAGATTTTATTTTGTGTTACGATTGGCGAAACCAAACACCGTAGGTAACACTTTTATTTGAAGAAAATAAAAAAAATGAAAAGAGTTTCAGTTTTATTAATGCGTAGGGTCGATAGACAAAAAGAATTAAGTCCGATTGCTAGTAGTAGAGCTCTCTGGTTGAGTAGTTTGAGAATTGAGAACATTTTCCCAGATTCGTTGTGACGAGCTGTCGGAGGACACGGAATGCTCCGAAGAAGAGATCATTTATGTCATTGAAGACTGGAAGACATTCTATACGTGCGGTGGATTCGAAGCGACGACACGTCCAAACGTTTGTTCGTCGCAAAACACTTGCCGTAGTTTCCTCTCCTCTGGAGTTTTATAGGGTTTAGCAATAAACAAGTGAGAAAGCGGTAACCATTATCTTCATTTTCTGTCCGCCATGCCTCCGCTTTTTGTTTATATTTTGTTAGTTTCGTTGTTGAATTTACGAAAGTCTCTCGACAGTGTCTGCTTTATATTTTTTTCGTTTTACTTCTCTACCCTTTTCGTCATTACGTGTTTCGTTCGACGACTACGTATTGGATTCTCGGTGAATTTATTGTCACCAATGTCGAGAATACCGCTTTGTAATTTTCGAGAGGAAACTCGATGTTTCAAAATCGTCGGGCGTTTACAATAAGGTAACGAAGACTGCTTCGGCGATCCACCTTCATCTCCAGATTTGTTTTGCCAGAGTTTATATAATTCTTCGCGATACGTATCTCTTAAACCTCTCCATTTGTTTTTTACAGCTGAAATAAAATGTAAAAATTCATCGAATTATTATCGTTACGTATTTCGTTCTACTGGAATATCATTTAGAGCGCCGAGCTTCTCATTTCGCCCAATTTCACACACCAAAATAGAATAAATAGTAGGCCGTATGAAGTTTGCTTTGCGTATGGAATGATTTTGGTAGTAAGCTTATGGCTCCGCTTTCTACTGAAAATTTGAAAATACAGTAGTGACTATTTGAATTTTTTTAAAAGGAGAATTTTCTCGATTGCTAAGGTGCAGCGACTATAAAGGTATTCAAATTAGGTATTCGCGATATTCTGGAACACTTTACAGTAACTACATACGATGTTTTTCCCATTGTGCTACAAGGACTAGCGGATGCAAATTATAGATTTATCGCTATTGACATCGGAGTTTTCGGAAAGGGAAGGGAAGAAGGAATATATTTTTATTTCGAGTGTTTGCAAACGTTTGGAAACAAATACTTTCGATATGCCAAGGAATGAAAATGCACTTTGACAAATATTACACTTTTGTATTGCTAGGCGACAATGCTTATTCGTTAAATCCATACTTATGAAAACCTTACTGCAGACAATACTGTTTATGAAAATACTCCAGACACAAGCTTGCGAATGAAGAATTAATTTTAATTATAGTCTTTTAAGAGGGCTTGTTTAGCGTTTGGAATTTTACTTTCCAAATAAAAATATTTAAAAACCGAATTAAAATTGCTGGAGAAAAAATCGATATTGTGGTAAAGTGTTCGTGTCTATTGCGCAGCGTAATTATTGATAAATAAGGTGCGCCCGAGTTACGAACAGGCAGAGAGAAAAATGTCTGTCGAGAAACGTGATAATCATCGTGGAAGAACAGCGAGAGCGAGAAAGAGAAAAATTTTTAAAGATTATTTTGTCAGTTCAGTGAGTAAACTTCATTTTTAAGATGAAATTTTTCCCGTTAAATTAATCTATTTATATTAAGCCAATTAACCGTTCACGAAAAAAAAATTACTCGTGTCTTTCACTTAATTCTTGACTTTTTTTATCCGAATATTTCCGCGCAACATCCCCGTTATGGTCGTAACCCACAAAAAGCAATGAACCGAATCGAGTTACATTTCGTATGAAATTAAACGAATGGTAATTTAAAAAGTTGTTATACAATTTGTTTTTGGTGCTTAGGCCTCATTTATCTGGCTGTAAAAAGCCGATTTAAGGGAAACGTGGGATGATAAAACTGAAACCGATGGATTACAGGAATACGTTTTCACTGGTGGATAATGTTTTAGCCGACATCCGGTTAAATAATATTTTCTTGATTCGGCAAATTATATATAGAAGTTGTATCACAGTTTCTACCAACGGTCACCCGTGTAAGTTGACCGTCGATCGTATTTACCCATTTGGAACGTGAGAAAAATAGGACCTAATTTTTCACTTTGGAAGACGACGTTGAATAAAAATCGAGAGTACGGTGACAAAATATGCACTTTTAAAAGAGATATTGGAAAGAAACGTTTAAAAACGCGACTACGTAGACACAAACTTAGTCATTGGGCGACGTTTCATCCGGAGACAAAAGGCCAATATGGGTAAAACAATACGGACAATACGTACACCAGGGAAAACAAAATGACCACTCAATTTCAAGCATTAAATACTTTTTACCGTAAACTGTCACGGCGCAATTGCAGGTTTAATAACAATTGCAACGACGCCGAATTGTGATAAGGAAGTCGATTTTTAGACAGAACGCCGAAATGACATTTAAACAACTTTACGATTGTAAAGTGACTTTATATTTGACTCATTTACGAAAGACGCTAGTGCAATACCGCGTAAAGATACCAGCGATCGTTCTACATTTCATCAATTTCTATATGCGGAAAAAACGCTAACAGCGCAGAAGAAAGATAACATTTAGAAAAAGAATAGGCGGTACGCGTATATTACGATTATTAAGGTTACGTCAGCTGGAAGTTGTTAAAATTGATGAAGACAGAAATCGTAAGTGAAGGAAAAACAAGGCGACTTACGCTGTCCAGAACTTTCCATAAAGAGGTATCGCCGTGCGCATTCAACGGATCGAGATTTCTTCGTAAAGAACCACCGAACAGTAAGGGAACCTGAAAACGTCACAAGAGCATTTTGAAAATACTAACGGTAAATATTTTAGGGAAATAAAAAGTTTATTTAAAACTACTAGCGAATCTAGGACGCGTGGCCGCTACAAATCCCGCGGCTAGTTATAAGAATGACACGATTTTGTAATTATTTATACGGTTTGGCACGCCTCCGTCACCGCTTAACTCCTTATACGTAATATGATTTCAATGGAAACGTTTCACTCGAAACATTAATTAGTTTAAGAAACGAAATAACGTAAAGGACGGTACTGGTTATTTGGATGGAAGACGACGGAAGGCCGATCGATGATTTCAGTAAACGGTACTTACACCTATATCTTACCTTTATAAATTTATCTGCATGAAAATAACTAGAATATAAACAATGTAATGACGTTTAATAAACCCTGCTAACCTTACTCCAACTTTGTTTTTTTTTTTACTTTAACCATTACGGATGGCGCATTTACTAATTTACCTTTACTCGAAATAATTTATTAATAAAAGTAATCGTATTTCGTATTGACGGGAAGGTCTCTAAACGAGATAACCGAATACATTATCGACGTTAGAACGGCGGTTGAGATACGAAACGTAAGTTTAAAGACTGGCTGTACGCATTTCCCTGGTGTATCGGTCAGAGGGAATTTCGCCGTTATTAACGCGCGGGTTAAAACAAATCGCAATTTTACAATTACGTAACGTAGATAAAACAACGTTGTGCTTTTATTTCTAAAACCTCGTAAGTAATTTACCTGAGGAATAATAGAAAGTTTACTTCTCAAATGATGTAAGTCGACACCTCCGATGTTAACGTGGTCGATGAAGATCGATCCCGTGGGTTCCGTCGTACGAAACAAAGCCGCTATTAACGAACTCTTTCCCGCTCCCGTTCTTCCCACGATTCCGATCTTGAATCGAATAAAGACATTTGTACATAATTTTAAAAATAGTATTTTTTTAATTAATCGAAACGCGGAATTTCGCTTCTCGGAAAACAGACATCGGCGCAATATTCCCCCTTAACGAAGGAACAAATAATTTTATTCAATTTCGTATTCGGTACAAAAAAAAAAAAAATATAATTGTAATAGTAGTAACGACTGCGCGGTATACTTTATTATAGAGTATATACAGTATTATTATTTTCCAGTGACTTTTGAAGCAACGTTACCGTTACCATCGATTGCGATTTAATCGGTGAAAATATCGAGTGGCAGCTTTCTTTTATCTTTCGGGCGGTATAAGGGGCTAGCGGATTTTAAATGTTTTAAAGTCGGGACGTTCTTACATGGTGTAAGAAAAGTACTCCGGGTAATTTTCCCATTAAAATATCCACGCGCTATAAAATTCGTAACTGTACGATTTTTCATTTAAAACGGAAAAAAACGCTGTTATTTACCTTTTCTCCGGACCCGATGAGAAAATTTAAATTTTTCAGTACGGGATTTTCGTTATTCGAGTATCGCAGGCAGACGTTGTCGAACTTAATAGCACCGTGGGCGGGCCAGTCGGCGGGAAGATCACTCTGCCCTTTGCTCGGGCGGATGGCTTTAGGTAATGCCTCATTAAATTTGTATACGTTTTCTATAGACATCATCTAAAATATATTTGACAACATAATTATTTCCTTTTCAAAATCCAAATTATTTTCTCTATTAATATCGATGTAGGCTGCTAGTTCTTATTAACGAACAGAATTTTATATTTTAAATCAAGTCTAGTTTTAAATTAAAATATTATATTTTATAAATTCTTTACAATTTATAACGCGCAAAAATTGTTATAATGCTCTTTGGAAATAATCGATTCCGATCGTATTAAGGCCACGGAGGCGCGATAACACCTTTAAATTGTGGGCTTTTCCGAATGGCCGAAAACTTCTAACGTCGGCCTTAATCGTGTGTTGGAAGAATGTATTCGGTTCATTCGGTAATCGTCAGAAAACAGTGGAAGCGCTATAGTAGGACTTTATAAGACGGCAAGAAGGCATTTCGAGGTAAGACGCCGGTAGAGAATCGAGTCGACGTGTCCGAGCTTTAGTTTTCCGGGACCGGATGAAATAGTGCAAAGCGGAGAACACGATCTGTCGATATAATTAAGACCGTGACGTGGAAACTATTGTTTTGTTGAGAGCGGATTCTTGCTTCTACGCGCCATCAGCTTATAGGCTAAGTTTCGGCTCTCTCTCCATCGCTCGCGCGTTGATATTAAGTTATATCGCGACTATTAATTCTGTTAGTCGCCAAGTTTTACGTATTTAACAATAATTAATTATTGGGTTACTATTTAAAAAAATTAGAATCCTGTAAATTCCTACCGTCGTTTCTAAATGTCGAGAAATAAGCTAGACAGACGAAAGAGGAGACCAGATGCGGAAACCCTCGATTAACTATATACAAACTTCCACGCAAACCGAAAGTCACATTATTTCTGTTTAAAACTTTTCCGCCGAAAGCAGTTAATTAACGATTTGCGCGACTCTATGTCTAAAGGAAAAGTATGTCGTACGGGGACGAGACACCAGTAATAATTTGAGACGGAGAGCGTATATTTTAAATTAAATAAATATGATTTAAAATAGCAGTCCGGCATTGCGACCGTGTCACGAGACAATAATGGTTGATTTTTCATTATTATATTAAAATTTAAGATAAATATTAAATTGTGATATTGTAAAATATATGAGTTAAAGCGGATAACGTAAAATATTTACCTGACTTTTCTCCTCGACAAGAGTTATCATCAACATTACGGAATTGAAGGCTACGATTGTACCGTAGGAAATTGCCAGGCCAATTTCTCCTCCCACCGTAGCTAAAAAGCAAAGTTTTAAAATAAGTAAGGTAAGACGACGTAAATACGGAAGGACGAGTTTAATAAGTTAACTTACACGAAGGTAGGAGGAACACTATCACCATTGTAATCGCCAGATGTAGGTAGGAAAAGATGAAAGCGTACAGCGAAATCGTTTTGTTTACGGCGACGAGAAGAAACCAAACAGAGCTATGCCTATTCAAATAAATATCTAAAATATTTTCGAAATTTCTTTGGCAACCGCAAGCTCTTATCGTTAATAATCCGGACAAAGTGTTGCTGAGATGATTAAAAATAGGGCTTCTTCCTGTATAAATATTATTTTATATTTGTAAACCAGAGCGTACGTAACCGTTTGACCAATCAATAATTGTATTACGAAAAGATATTCTATAAATTCTCTGAGAAAACTAAACACTTTTTACGCTTTAGGCTGTTATTTTCAATACTAGATACAGCGTGTTCGCGTAATACTGTATACGTACAGTACTGTACATTAACACTCGCACATAGTTGTTCAAATAATAAATTACGCTTTACCATCCATATTTCTTGGCTTTTATCACTGGCAAAATGTTTAATAATACGACTGTATAAAATGCCCGCTTTGTTACCACAATACAGTACTATTACGCTATTGTGGTAACAATAGCGTAATAGTACAGTCCACGTATCTGCACGTACTGTCACGGAACTTAAAGTTATTTTCAGTAAAGTAATTAAGGATACCAAACGTAAGAGAAATGAGTGTTGGTTTATTACCGCTCTCTTAAAAACGACTCGCAAAACCAGTTGGGTGGTAAAAGCAGAAAAAAAAAGTGATTTTTAAACATAAAATATATGATTTTTAATTTAAATATATTACAGGCAAATCGAAATACAATACTTACTTTTAGCTTCAAAGCGGTTGATTCCGACGGACGTATTTTTACAGAATGTCCAGAGAAAGACCAAGGCAAAGGCCAAAACCACCGAAGGTATTATTAAGTAGGGACAAATCGTGGCTTCCACCACACACATACCGAGTAAGGCGAAAACGAACTGGGTTTGAAAATAAAATAACAATTAGTGAATAATTCCTTCAATACAAGCCAATTTAGTGTTTATTAAACTAGCAGTTCTTAAAAATCTTGAGATTCCTACGCGCATTCGTAAATCCGAAATATCAAAATGCCAATTTTTCTATGAAATATACCGAATTTCCTAAAGGAATAGTAATGTAATAACATATTCTTCACGATAAATCTGATATTTTCGTTTTGAAAAAAAGGAAGAGTAAACCTAAAGCTCGATACCCCATCGATTCCTCCTTAATAAATAAGCTAAAGTACAAGTTATTGCCATTTAGAATTTGGCTGCCGATACGCCGGAAAATTCCCCTTTAGCCTACTTAGATAACGAAACGCAATTAGTTTCCGTAAACCCTTCCGCCTCATCGTTACGTAATTGTAATTTACGCAGCGAACCATTCCCTTCCCAGGCTGCTTTTACGTTTTTCTAAATTTCCGTCGGACGGAAAATTTGCTTTACTCCGGTTTATTACGAGATGAATCAGATTTAAGTAAGATTCCGAAGCAAATTCGCGTTTTCTTTCTTTCTTCCTCGCATATTTTTAAAATTAAAAGTAAAACTCGAATATATTTATTAAAAAATTATAAATCTTACCATAAAAATTTTCATATTCGTAATCGGTAATTGAGTGTCAATTATGCCCACGTCTCTAGAAAATCTGTTAAATATTTTACCTATAAAGGAGAAATTAAACAAGGTTTAAGTAAGATCGTACGTCATTAGAAATTTATAAATATAAATATAATTATGAGCAACGACGTATTACTACTAGACACCGCCGTCTTTCAAGGGGATAGAACGTGTGTCCGCAGTGACACTTAAAGGCAGAAATTACTTAATAGATACGACTGTTCGTCACATAAATACACAATTTTCACCACTGTAATTTACAAAACTGATAAATAATAAACGAAATAGTCGTCATACTCTAGAAAATAATTTAAACTATTAAATACTAGTAGTTAAATTATTATTGGTGTCGATCGAACGCGTCGCCAAATTAAGAAATACGAAATAGAAGAAATATGTACGGGCGCCTCCGGGACTTACGAACACGATTGGTTGCTGATATTTTGTTGTAAACACGGGAGTGCCCGCACTGGATAATGTACAGTACAACAATTCATAGGCACGATCTGTAAATGACGTCCACGCGGGAAGAGGGAGAAGGGAGAAAGACGAGTCGAACAAAAATCTGACAAGGGTTGGGAGAGGATTGACGTCCAAATATTTTATATATTTGGACGTCATAATATTTTTAAAATGTTTAAAAAATAAATTAAATCTATTAGAAGTGTCTAATTATAGCATTAAAAATGTAGATGAATTGTTAACAAGATTAAAAAATATTACAATTAATAAATACAGTATATGAAATTAATATCTTTTGATATAGTAAATATGTATCCTAGTATCACAATAGAAGATATAGAAAATTCATTAATAAGAATGTTATTGGATAGTTGGATAGTTAAATTATGTTTAATTATAATTAAAAATAACTACTTTCAGTTCGAAAATAAATTCTATACCCAGAAGGATGGAATACCTATGGGTACTTGCATAGGTTCAAGATTGGCTGAAATATCAATGATACAAATAGATGAAAAAAATTAATTGTGAATCATCAAGTGGGTTTTATATTTCAAAAGTCGCTTGTCCTATAAGAATACCAGATTTATAGTAGACGTTCGTTAATCCGGCACGCGATAGACCCAAAAGCATTCCGTAATCTGGCACCCTGTGAAAATAGCCGATGAAACTTCTGTAAATCGTATGTATATAGCAAATGCCTAGAAAATAAATATCTGTACATAATCATTGCGAGTGTTGATTCTGTACAACATAAACCTTCTTGTAGGATTTTCGATCATTAGTAATACAGTTTAGTCATGCATTGTATCATTTACAGACTAATTAAAGAGCGTACGTAAACAAATTGGAATCACAGAGCAGCGTATACTAATAGAAAATGAGCAGCAATGCGAATTTTGCAAAAATACAAATATGTTTGGTAATCCGGCACCATTCTGGTTCCTTAGGTTCCGGATTAACGAGCTTCTACTGTACTTTTGTTCCAATATTTTTCGCTTTCTTCAAAGAATTCTTGGTACTCTAGTAGTCTGTCATTACATTCGGTTGGATCCAAAGGTGGCAATTCTCCTCCATATTCGACAGGCAAATACTTAGGATCAACAAACTTGTGCAATGATTCCATTCCAGAGTTGTGGAGGTGAATCTGAAATTATTCTTCAATGAATCAATTTATCAAGAAATTCCAACACAATAATATATTGACAGTATTTAAAATTCACAAATGTAGTAATGACTTTTTTAAAATTCTTTTCGCCATGTAAGTACTAAGAGATTCTCTTTATAGTAAGCCAAATATGGTTTCGGCCAGGCTCACAATGGGGAAACTGGGTGGTGATTGACTATAGTAACGGCTATTATCGATAAAGAAAACAATATTAGTGTGAATTCCTCAGGTTTTATACGAAAAATAATTGTGTTTTCATACAAAATTTAAACAACTGATTTTTAATTATAAAAAATTTCTGTACATATCAATATTAAATGTCCCAGTAATTACTATATTACAATATCAATATCAACACAAGTATAACGTGTATGAGCAATAGTGGATCCGGAGATCTTTACTGGGGTGCAGAAAAAAATCCACTATTACCGAGCTTTACTGGGGGGAAAATCCCTCGTAAGGGTTTGCAGTTTCATCCTACACATCCCTAAATCTATCCCTGTATATAAGTAATTGTGAATGATATCGATAGTGGGTGTTACTGTGAAATTACATGAGTGCAACATGACTGTGTTGAGTGCTTTATAAGGGACGCACTCGTTCAGTGAGGCCATTCATTGAAACGAAAGGGGAGGAGAATTAAATTTAATCTTAGAAAGTTGTCAACAATGTAATTTTGCTTTACTGGCTGTTATGTATACATAACAATGTAAAGTATTGGAATAGTGTCAAATTTGACCCTCTGTGTGTATTGACGTCTATTTTATTTAATATCTCTCAATGGAGACATAATTTACAGACGAAATTTGGCATGGTAACATGTGTATAAAGGACATTGATACTATTAAATTTTGGTGATTAAAAGTCGAAAGAATAGAGAGATAGAGGGGATCACGGGTCGTATTTCGAGAAGATACAGACTGTACATTTTACTCATTATTGTCATTTACAATTATTTTTATAAAACTCATTTTCCACCTCAAAATTAAGCTTTTTGTCATTTTATAGTAATTAATAATATATAAAAAAATTTATAATGAAATATTGTAATAGATAGCGCAACACACAATGTTATTTATTATGATTAATAATATAAACGTTATATTAAAAATAAAATCTCGTAACAGCCGGGAAAGTTACGCAACTCGTTGCTGAATATTTTAATATAATTGATATTTACTTAAAAGAAACAAATCATTTCATTTACTTACTCTGTTCCTGATTTTGTGTGGTAAAAATGGCATAAACGCTGACAGAAAGATGTATAATAATTTTCCAACATTGACCATGTGGATTTCTTTATAACTAATTTGACTGGAACCCTAAAAGTTTAAAACATATGATGTAAATATTATTGATAAAAATAGACTTTGTTCAATTCTTACCTCGCTCAGTGAAAACTCCATACTGAAGTATGGGATTAAGGTAAAAAAAAAATTATATTTTAATTTTATATTCTACAAATCATGTAACAGGAATAACTTACAAACATTAAAGAAGCGATGGAATAAACAGTGTTTGGGGTAAGTTGAACGATGTGCCTCCAGGATAAGCCTTTAGCATCAAAGATCAAAACTAAACCATTGACTTGCATTACGTGTTCATTTATATTCAAGTCACAAATCATCAATGTGCATTTTAATACTGATTTAATGTGAACTTTATTAGGATCCCACATAGCTAAATAAAGAAAAATACTTAAAAAAATTAATTTTATATTCAAGTTGAGAGCGAAATATTTAATGTAAATACGTACAGCATCTTCCAAATCCTATAACTCGTCCTTTTTGATCAGTCTGTCGAGTATATCCCAAAATTTTCGTATCTAAATATTCTTTTACAGCCAAAGGATTGAAATCCTTAAAGATATCCTTGTAACTTTCTCTTGCTGAGTAGTAAGATTTTAATAATTTAATAGCCCTTTCTTTATCGAATTTCCGAGCTCTGAGGAAGCCCAAGAGGAATATGTCGTCCATGCGACAATTTATTTGCTCTTCTGCAAAATAATAAACATTAGTTTAATATTTATAACAGGCAATATATATGTTAAAAATTTTACTTCTTATCATGTTTTTGAAAATTTGGACATCTTCATCGTTCCACGAATATTTGCTGCTTTCGTTCTTTGAGTTATCAATGAATATTCCAAGAGTCATTTCTGCAAGTTGGAAATATCGAGTATATTTATTAGAATTTAAGATATGCACTCTTTTAAATACAATAATATGTAATAATTAAGTTATCAGTAATACATTAATTTATAAATCAAGCTCAGAAACACGTATAAAAGTGTATTATCGTAGGCCCAAAAAAGGTGGCCAGGTGGTAAAGGAAATACCTTACATTTTCAGAACACACCGCCATTAAAACTACCGTATTTTCGGCTGGTTGGCAGGAGATTTTTTCGTTTAATTATTTAAACTGATAGCATTAATAAATAAAAATTTCTGATACAAAATATAGGTTAAATAAAAAATTAATTTTAAATGGAATCAGAAGAGAATAAATTACTTACTCGATTCTGAGATGAATGCTGACGTGGGTTTTATATTTCAAAAG